CTCCCCCCCCCCCCCCCCACATAAGATGCACCACTTGTTGGAGGAGGGAACCCAGAGTCTCTTTTGCAACTGAATGGTTTGGATTTGGTTCCTCATTTAAGACGCGTCCCTAATTATTGAGCTTCCCGTTTAAGATACGTCCCTAGTTTTCAATCACTTGGTTTGGGCAGTGGTAAACAAATACATCCGGTAATTTTCCTGTTTAAGTCAGGGTTTATTTTGGATCTTCCTTGATTCTTGATTTATAAAATGATATCACTTTCTATTTAAGAGGCAGTGAATATCTTTGATAAGTAATCGTTGTTAAATAATTACTTCAATGATTCCCTTATAAAACTGTTGTTAAATAATTTCTGTGATTGTATAATGGATGTATGGATGATTAAATGACCTTCGCTAAATAACCTGCACAATTATTCTTATCAACTAACCCTCGTTAAATAATCCCTTTGATTTTTAGACTCATTATATAACGCCCATGATTATTAGCCCATTAAATAACCCTCACTAAATAATCTCCATTCTTATTACTCTATCAATTAACTCTTGCTGAATAATCCCTGTGATTGTTAGACCCATTATATAATCCCCATGATTATGACCACATTTAACGAGGGTTTTAATAATTCTCACTATTTCATTCATTAGATAATTCTTGTTAGATAACGTGTGCGCTATTAGATAATCCTTATTAAAAGTCTCCACAGTAATAATTCTGTTATTTAGTCCCCATTAAATAATCCCAGTGATTGTTATGCATGTTAAATAACCCTTGTTAAATAATACCCAGGGTGGTCCTAACCATTAGATAATACTTGTTAAATAATTGGTGCTGATTCTAGTGTTAAATGTTTCTTGTTAAATAATTCTTGCAGTTGTTTTCCCTATTAGATAACCCTCGTTATGTAGTTGTCATAATTATCCCAAAAATCTCTGCAGTTGTTATCCATATTTGATAATCCTCGTTAAATAACCCCTGTAATTGTTACCTTAATATATAATCCCCGTGATTGTTATACTGTTAGATAATCCTTGTTAAATAATCTCCACAATTGTCACAGTAAATAATCTCTGCAATTGTTATCCATATTTGATAATCCGTGTAAATAATCCCCATGATTGTTATCTTGAAATATAATCCCTGTTATTGTTGTTTTGTTTGGTAATCCTCATGAAATAATCCCCACAATTATTTCATTAAATAGTTTCTGCAGTTGTTTTCCCATTATATAATTCTTGTTAAATAACCCCAACAATTGTTAACTCATTAAATAATCCTCTTTAAATAATTCCTGCAATTGCTATCTTTGTTAAAACTGTTCTTGTTAAATAATAGTTGTGATTATTTAATACTCATTAAATAATCTGTGTTACATAATCTCCATAGTTATCTTCCATGACAAATAATCCTAATTAAATAATCCCTGAAATTGTTATACTTAGTTAAATATGATTAAATAATTATTTCAGTTATCCCTGCAATTTTTACCCCTTTTAAATAATTATCACTTAATAATCCCTAAAATTGTTCTGTTCATTAATTATTATTAAATAATTCATGTAATTATTTTCCCCCGTTAAACAATTCTCATTAAATAATCCCTATGAATGTTATATTTGTTAGACAATTATCAGTAAATAATTGCTTTAGTTATCCGTGTTAGATAATTCTTATTAAATAATCCCTATGAATATTATGCTTGTTATTTAATTATCATTCAATAATTCCCAGTTATCCCTGTTTAGAAAATTAGATACTTCTCCTTTCTCCTTTAATAACATATGCAGTTATAATACCTGTAGAATAATTCTTGTGCTTATTCTACTTGTATGATTCTCATTAGGTAACCTTCATTTAAATATTGCTCGTTAGATAATCCCTAGAATTGTTATACCTGTTAGATAACCCTCATTTAATAATCTCTTGTGATTATTACATCTGTTGAATAATCTTCAAGATTATTATATTTGCTGGATAATCCTCATTACACATCCCCCACAAGAGTTATATTGTTAAATAATTCTCATTAAATATCCCCAAGTGTTATACTGTTCAATAATCCCCATTAACCCCTGCTTGTTATCCCATTAAAAAATCCGTACTCTATAATCTCTGCATTTATGATTATAATTCATGTGTTGAGATTGACATTCAATTATAATATAATTATCATTATCAATTTTATTATCATTACTAGCTAATTGCCTGTCAAGAATGACAGGGCAGGGAGCGGTGAGGATGGAGCCCCGCCACCCAATGCCCTGTGTTGCCACCGCTCTCCTTCTGGCCCGATGTAAGGCCGCTCCATTGCCGCCACCTGCAGGGAGCAGGCTGCTTTGCTGCCACTCTGTTCCTGCCATCATGGTGGCGCACTGCCACCGCCTCCTGTCGGGAGTGCTGTTGGAGCACTCTGGTTGTTTCAGACAGCCAATCAGAGTGTGACTAAAGTGTTACGAACAGACAGACAGACAAAGGCTTTTATAATATTAGAACTATTATATCAATTATAATACAATAATTATTCATTTCATTCCTGATTTCATTAGAACAAGCTGCCTAGCATTTCCAAGCCTGGCTTACTTATGAAACTACCAGCCCTCAAATGCAGCAGCCATCATTAGCAAATAAACCCTAAATTCATTAGGGTTTGTTAGCGGCTGCCTCCTTTCCCTGGCTTGTAGACAAGGTCGCGATGAATATTTGTTAAGTGGGTCACCAAGCCTGGGGACTTAGTAGTTCTCATTTGTTCCTCTCTTGTCTTTAATTAGCTGCAGGTTTTTTACGCAGTGGGTTTTTAATTGACGGACCAGGAACTGAGGTGGCCTCGGAATTTGGAGCTAGTAGAGCCGGTCCTCTCACTCTTGGTGAGTGCCTCGAGCCAGTAATGTCCCCCTGGAGGGATTGCATTATCTTCCAGGATCCCAAATATGCTTAATTTGCATAATGCTAATGAGGCAGGAGAAAGAAACGCCCCTGTGATGTACTAAGTTTCATTCCTCCTCTCCCCCTGGGTGGCTGTGCTTCCCCAGAGCTGGCTGCATCTTAGCCTCTAGCAGGCCTTTCTCATGAAACTGTTCTATGTGGCCAGAGCAGGCCCACCCCAGAGCTGGTCACATCTCAGCCTCTAGGAGGAGTTTCCCAGAGCATCAGAGGCTTCTGGAAAGGGCACAGGGGCCCAACAAATCTTTTCCATGACGGTCTAGGACCCACATTACCCCCTGCTTCTCTGGTGCTGCTTCATATCCATCATGCCTCCTGTTGCCCCCCTCAGGGTCTTTGCCAGCCTCCCACATCCCACAGTCCTCTTCCCTGCGGCCTGAAGATGACATCTTGTTCCAGTGGCGCCTGCGCCGGAAGATGGAGGTGGCAAGTGAGGGCACCTCGGGGGTTTGGAGGACTCCAGGTGTCCCCCCGTGGAGGGTAGGAGCCTGGTGGTGGGGAGGGGGCTGGGTTGTGGTTAACTTTGAGGGTGTTTTCAGGCTGCCCCACCCCAGAGCCAGTTGCATCTCCCGCCGGGTGAAGTAGATTGGTGTAGTGTTATATGTAACCATTGCCCAGCTGTTTCCCCCAGAGCCAGCTGCATCTCCCACTGACTGAGATAGACATGAGTAGTGTTATGTGCAGCTGCTCCATGCCAGAGCTGGCTGCATCTCTGCTTATGTGAATGCCCCCATGGCAGCGTTATATGCAGCCAGTATCCAGGTGTTCCACCCCAGAGCTGGCTGGACCTCAGCTCTATGTGACTCCCATCCAGGCAGCATTATTTGCAGCCATTCCCCAGCTGTTTTGGCCCCAGAGTTGGCCACATCTCCCACCGGGACCACTATATGCAGTTGTCATGCAGTTGTTTTACCTCCCCAAGCCAGCTGCATCTCCCACTGGGTGAGATAGATGTGAGTAGTGTTATGACGTAGATGTGTTAGTGTTCCACCCCAGAGCTGTCTGCATCTCAGCTCTGTGTGCCCCCCCCCCCCCCCCCCCCCCACACCACAGGCTCTTCCCTAGCTGTTCCACCCCAGAGCTGGCTACATCTCGGCTGTAGATGGTTTTATGGGGCTCTGGGGTCTCTGCCCACCACCATGAACCTCCCTGCTCTTACTCCCCCGTCTTTACCCATCTGCCCCTGCAGGGTGACACAGCATGGCTAGGCCTCAGGGCAGCATCTAGCAGCAGAGACAGTGGTCCCCAGGCCCCCCAGCAAGGGGTGGGGCCTGCTGGAGGGGGTGGGGCCTGCCCTCCAGCGGACCATGCCCCCATACAGCTGGCACCGGCACCTGCTCCTACCCTCTCCTGGATGCCTGGGGAAGATGGGGAGAGCTCCCATGATGCTCCAGGGCCCAGCAGAGGGACTCCTGTGACGCTTTCCCGTGATGCTTCGGGACCTGATAGAACTGTGCAGAGACCCAGCTCCCATGATGCTCTGGGGCCTGATGGAATGGTGCAGAGACCCAGCTCCCATGATGCTCTGGGGTCCAATGGAATGGCACAGAGATCCAATTCCCATGATGCTTCAGGCCCCAGCAGGTGGACACCGGTGACACTGTCCCATGATGCTTTGGGGCTGGATGGAACAGCACACAGACCCAATTCCCATGATGCTCCAGGCCCCAGCAGGTGGACACTGGTGACACCATCCTGTGATGCTTTGGGGCCTGATGGAACGACACAGAGACCCAGCTCCCATGATGCTGTGGGGCCTGATGGAATGGTACAGAGGCCCAGCTCCCATGATACTCTGGGGTCCAATGGAACAGCACAGAGACCCAATTCCCAAGATGCTTCAGGCCTTAGCAGGTGGACACCACTGACACTGTCCCATGATGCTTTGGGTCCTGATGGAATGGCACAGAGTCCCAACTCCCATGATGCTTTGGGGCCCAGCAGGTCACTGCCCCCTGGCCTTTCCCACAATGCTCTGGGGCGTGGGAGACCCAGCTCCCAGGCTGCTTCATGGCCAGGAGGACCAGCCCAAGAGACTGCATCCCATGATGCCTGGCGGCGGGACCCCCAGCCCAGGAGCCGGGCCAGGCTGCGACAGGGGGGCAGGGGTGGCCCGGAGTGCCCCCCCCAGGCTGTGCGCAGGGCCCTGGGGCAGGTATGGGGGCTGGATGTTGAGGGGTGGGCATGAGTGCAGGCTGGGGGGCAGTTAACTCCTAGCTTCCCTCCCAGGTGATCGCTGAGCGGCTGCTGTCGCCCCCCCTGGGGCAAGAGGAGTCTGTAGGCCCCCTGGGGCAAGAAGAACAACCTGTGGCCCCCCTGGGGCAGGAGTCGTTCCCCCCAGGTCAGGAGCCAGCCCCCCACACCCAGCTGCTGGGGCTTGCCGCTCGGCTCCTACAGGAGGCGGAAGGTAGGTGGGCAGATACAGAAGGGGGCAGTTCCCGAGGAAGAAAGGGGGTGTGGGGGGTGGGCAGAGTGATCCCTGAGAGGGCAGGGAGGAGGTGCTGGGCATATCTGGAGTGGAGGAGTATCCCCCTGGGGTTGGTTCAGTATGGGGGACATGACATGCAGCACAGTGCAGCTGTTGGGGGCAGGGGAGGGCCTGGGTGGGTTCCAGAGTAGGTGCAGGGAGCTGTTGGGCATGTCTGCTGAGGAGAATCCCCCCTGGGTATGTGCAGTACAGGGGGGCATGACGCACAGTGTCTGGGGGAGGGGTAGGGGACAGGTCTTGGCAGTTCCCATGGGGGTGGGAGAGGGACTGGGCATGCCTGCAGAGGAGGAGAATCGCCCTGGGGCAAATGCAGTGCAGGGAGCATGACGCAGTCCCTGATGTCTGTCTGACACGTCTCGCCTCCCCAGACTCGGACGGCACCGAGTTTGAGGCCGACCCGCTGCTGCAGGTGCTGCGGGGCCAGCGGGAGGTGCTGCGCCGGTGCCTGCGGTAAGGAACCCACCCCAGAGCTGGGTGCAGCCCTGTGCCGCCGGGTCCGTATTCTATGGGGCTCTTCACCAGTTGTCCCACCCCAGAGCTGGGTGCAGCCCCATGCTCCCTATACAGTGTTATATGCAGCTGTTCCACCCCAGAGCTGCCTGCATCCCCATGCTCACAAAGCAGTGTTCTATGTAGCCATTCCCCAATGCCGCACCCCGGAGCTGGGTGCATCTCCCATCATTCCTGTGCAGTGCTATATGCAGCCATTCCCAACTGTTCCACCCCAGAGCTGGCTGCATTTCACCAGGTTATATGCCCTCCCTGTGAGGGGTTATGTGCTGCCAGTCTCCAACTGCCCCACTTCAGAGCTGGACTCATCTGTATGCTTCCTATACAGCATTCTATGTAGGTGTTCCCCAGCTGTCCCACCCCAGAACTGGCTGCATCTGTGCTCACAAGGCGGTGTTCTATGCAGCCGTTCCCCAACTGTTGCACCCCAGACGTGAGCATATCTCAGTATCGCGTAAACTGCCTCTTTGAGGTGTTCTATGCAGCCGGTCCCTAGCTGCTTTACCCCAGAGCTGGGTTCATTTTGTGCTTTTTATAGAATGTTATATGCAGCTGTTCCACCATGGAACTGGCTGCATCTTGCCATATTAGAAGCCCCCCCCCCATGACATATACGCAGCCAATTTCCAGCTGCCCTGTCCCAGAACTGGGCGTATCTCCATGCTTGTGCAGTGTTATATGCAGCTATTCCTGGCTGTTCCACCCCAGAACTGGGCACATCTGCACACTCATAAGGCAGTGCTATATGTAGTCATTCCTAACTGCTCCACCCCAGAGCTGGCCACATCTTCCTGTGCCATACCATAAGCTCTCCCCATTGGCTGTTCCATGCAGCATTCTAGCTGCTCCACCCCAGAGCTGGCTGCACCTGGATGATGGATGTGATCTCCCCAAGTTAACCCTTTGCTCTCCCCCCCAGGGCCGTGGACCTCAAGGTGATGAGCTGGAGGGGGGGGGGCAGTGCTGAGCACGATGGCTCCCCCTGCTGACTGCCTCCCCTCCCCCCCATATCTCAGGACATCCCAGTGCTGAGAGTGCCTGGATTGGTGCCTTGGAGGGGGCAGGGGGGGCCAGAGGGGGCCCCTTTTGCCCCTCCCCCCAGCTGGGCTGAAGCTGTGCAATAAATATGTTTTGTTTGTTGGAGCTGGAAGTGTTCAATGGGGGGGGGTCCCCTCAATACCCCCTCCACGTGTCCCTTCCCCCGTTATTGGAGCTGCACTGTTGTGTCATCTGCCCTGTACTGCCGCTGCCTCAGGGGACTCTCCTCTTCAGGGGTGCTGGGGTAAAGAAGTGACCGGGGGGGGGGGGGGGGGG